CGTTGTGACCAGGCCTTAGTTATGTCGTAACAACGTACTCGGTACGATTCCAACTCGACTCGATCCAACCTAGTCAACTCATCTAAATGATTCACATGAACTGTCATCATGACGTGATCGTTCATTCTCATAGTGTGTGCTTCAGTTATCTTAACAGAAGACTGGGCTCCTTTAATTTCATGTCGTGAGATATTTAATCTCACGTCATGAGCTCTATCTGTGGCTAAAGGTTACCGTTTTAAGTCCTTAATCTATTAACTTCTTGAACCCATTGCATCCAGAAGATATAGGGGACTCCTAAGGTCCATAAAAATGTTTCCATTATGGTCATGTGTGCACCATGCATGATCCAACCTTTTTTTAGATCAAAAGTGAATAAATGAGCTTCAATCTTTCATGCATGCCTCATATCCGTACCATCTTTTAGATATGAACAATATTATGATCTAGGGACACGTAGAATCCATAAAGTTGCTAACTTTATGGAACTACTTCACTCATACATGCAATAACATAAAAAAGAGACAAAACTCTAGATCTATCCATAAAAAAACAATAAAGTTGGAGCCTTTGATACTTACAAAGGTCTAAAGGCAAGAAAAGATGATGATGATGATGATACTTTGCCCACTCCACCACTAGAGTACTTCCTTTTTCTTATTCTCTTATTCTTCAAGCTAGAAATGCACCAAAATGATAGAGGATCTTAAAGAGGAATGAAGTTAAGGTTTATGGAGGCTGAGAGAGTGAGGGAGGTTGAGGGTGGGAAACCCTAGCCCCCTCATACCCTTAAATACCAAAAAAATAGGGTTTTAGTCATCAGACCTCTCTCGCATCGTGAGCTTCAAAATGGTGCACGACCCAACTACACTCCACATGACGTGACAAGCAATCCTCACATCGTGAGAAGGCCCAAAAATAAAATTTAAATTTAATTACAATGTGCACCTGATCTGAATGCTACAATTCCCCCAACTTGAATTAGACTTCATCCTCGAAGTCAACTACAACAAGTAACTCAAGATAATGTTCTCGCGTCTCAGCCTCCGGCTCCCAGGTCCACTCGGAGCCTCTTTGATGTTGCCATTAAACGTTTAGCAAGGGTACCTCCTTGTTGTACATGATCTACATTTTCCTCTCCAGTACAGTTATCAGCCTCTCAATTTAATTCAGGTGCCCATCGACCTGAATATCGTCCAAGGGGACCACTGTCTCTTCGTCCGATACGTACTTCTACAACTGCAAAACATGGAAAGTGTTGTGGATCTGAATGAGCTCCTCAGGTAAGTACAATCTATAAGCTACATTGCCAACCCTGGCAATCACCCAAAAAGGTCCAATATATCGGGGACCCAATTTCCCCTTCTTCTTCTTCACTCACGTACGCATAACGTACGTGTAGTACGCATGGCGTACGTAGTGCAGGGGAAAATCCTAATTTTTAGAGTTTGCACCCTATTTAAACCTCATTATAAAATCTTTTGGACACTGATTAGCCTCCATCTCCCTTTACCCTGAAATTGAAACCCTTAGAGCATTTGGTGAGTTTTCAAGCTTGAAGGTGATTTGTTGGTATTTTGTGGTGAAGAAGAAGAAGAGGAACACTTGGAGGAGTGGCTTGAGATTGTATATCAAGGATTACCTTCTCATTTGCAAGCTTTTGGAGGTAAAAAGATCACACCTTGATGATCATTTATGTTATATCTACTTTGTGGCGTTTCTTAGGCATTTTTTAGTCTTTTGAAGCAAATATGAGCTTTTGATCTACTACAGAAGCAATGAATGCTAGATCTTAGCTCCATTTAGGCAAGTATTAAGACCTTTATTAAGCTCTTTTTGAGCTTCGAGTCCCATTAAGCCATGCATGAGTGTAAAGTTGCCAACTTTACGTGCTAAGTCACCCTTTAGCACTATATCTGAGAGTTTGGCTTGAGGTATTAACCGATTAAGTTCTTAATAGAGTAGGTTGACAATCCGGGGAGTACATTGGGCATACCTAGCTAGTATGCTGCGTGTACTGACCCAAAATGGACTACACTAGGCGTATGAGCTGAGTACGCCCCACATACTCAACAGATGGGCTTTTGGGCTTGGTAATCCTCGGTATTTGGCTATAATTTGGGTTTGTAAGTTTGGGACTTTTTGGGACATTAGAATTCTATTTTGGACTTAGGACTAGTATGTTGAGCTTCCTTGGATTTAGGCCCATGATGGACTTTGGACCCAATTTGGAAGATTAGGCCATAATTTGTCCCTTGGGTTGCCATTTAAAATTTGGGCCTTATGAGTAGTGGAGTTGGGCATTTGTTTTGGGCCAAGTTAAATAAAGGGTAAAATGGTCTTTTACCCTGGTTATGGGCTAAGTACTTTAGATTTTTGGTTATGGGTCAAAATCTGATTAATAGTTGGATATTATTTAATGTTGATAGCGCGGGGATTTTTCAGACCAATAGTAAGAGATTCTTTTGAGTGATTAAGCAGACAGAGGTGATTTCTTCACTTAGTTTAGCTGGTTGAAGGCACCAATGCCGACCCATGGTTTGTCATGTTAGGATGCTAGATGTCTGCGTAACTCTTGCATGTGTTATGTGCTTGTATGCTTACTGGGCAGGACCCGATGCTGGGCGGGGCCCGATGACCATTCTGTAGGTTATTTATCTTTGTGATTATTGCATGCGTTATGTGTTTATCTACTATATAATTATATGTATATCGAGCGGCGACCGATGTTGGGCGGGACCCATTATGTGTCTGTTATGTATGGTATGCGATATTTTGGGGAACTCACTAAGCTCTATGCTTACGGTTTTCAGTTTATGTTTCAGGTACTTCTGGGTCGAAGGGGAAGAGTCTGGGATGAATGTAGTGCATACACCATCTCATTCCGCATTTTATGATTACTCTAATGTTTTGTGATGTATTTGATACACTTTGTTCCACTACGGTATTATGATGATGTTTTTGGATTACAATTTTAATCATTTAAAAACAAAAATTTTTGGTCTTACTTTTAGGACGTTACAAGAATTCCAGATCCAAACTTCTTCCAAGCTCCAATGTCCTTCTACCACCTTCTTCTTCTTCTTCTTCAAGAACACCATCAAAACACATAAATAAGCTCAAGGTGCACTCTTCTCACTTAGGGTTAGCTAGAGGGATGATTTTTAGGTGGAACCTGATGAAGGTGAAGGGCTTGGGGCCATAAAGGGGATTATATAGGGTGCAAACCCTCAAAACTAAGTTTTTGGAGTAAACAACGTATGTGCACCGTACCTGCTGAGTACACCCAACGTACGTGTGCCAGTCCCGCTATTCCTTTGCAAGAGTACGCCATGCATACACTCCAAGTACGCACAACGTACTGACCAAAAAGGCAAACTTAAACATATTTACGTTTAGAAATAAACCTTCTCGGAACGAGTGTTACATGCATCATTAAGATTTAAGCTTTATACCTCCAAAATAAAGATCAAGGTGAACAAGACCTGGATCTACAAGCTCCAAAGCAACTAACACTTCTCCAATGAGCTCATTCTCCTCCAAGATGCACCAAGAAAACTTCAAAGCACTAAAAACTCAAGGATCTCACAAATAGGGCTAGGGTTTTGAAATTAGGGTTAAAGAGGATAGAGGATGAAGGTAATAAGGGTTTGAAATGAGTTAAAGTCTTTAAATAGGGTCCAAGACCTGAAATGTTAGGGTTTGCATCAAGCTCGCGTATGCCCAGCGTACTCCCAGTACCCTAGCGTACCAGGTTGAATCCCACGATTAACCATTCCTAGTACGCCTAACGCACTCCTTGTACACCCAACGTACTAGGTTAAACCCAAAACCTTCCTAACTTCTAACGGTTGTAACTTTTTCGTTTGAAATCCGATTTCGACGATCTTTATATCCACGACTTGGTATTGAAGAGCTCTACAATTCTATCTTGATACTTAAGACTAAAAACATCTTGAACTAAAATCCTTAATTTATGCAAGAAACTAGAAACATAATCTATCCCATTTTACCCCTTAGCTTCCATCGAACAATCCAAAGTTTAAATCACTTGTCTAACATCATACACCTCCAGTAGAGTCTAAACTTCATTCCATTGAAGCCCAATGCCTCCATTTTGATCAATTTATTGTCCACAATCCTGAAATAAGAACTTCTCGAAACAGGATGTTACATGATCGAAATCCCTCTCTATGAAAGATGAATCATTGATGAGAGAATTTTTTTAAAGCGAACTATAGGAAGGCGGTGGTCAGTTTGAGCATCAAATACAAATTCAACGGTGGTCTTCCCTATTTCATCACGCCCGACAAACACTATCATCCCTACGATGGATATACATCCGACGAGCACCGAAATAAATCGATTTATAAAGTTCCATCGCCGTCAGAAACATCCTGGCACCATCGATCAATCTTCACTAAATACACTCTGACCTCCGTTGATCAATCTTCACCGTTGTTGCAATTATATATATATATATATATATATATATATATATATATATATATATATATATATATATATATATATATATATATATAGTATGAAAAATGAGTTTAGAATTTACTCATAATACGATATTTTATTTGTTTGCAATGAAAGTGATAGATTCTTTTAAAGGTAAAAGAGTTAAAGGAAAAAATGATTACCACGTCAAATAAATTATATCATTTCTTTCCACAATCATCTCCGTCTCCCCATCCGCCTTACTACGCTACATCTCCCTCTGCCCTAAACTCCTCACACACTCTCTCTCCCCTCCATAATCTCCACATCATCTTCCAAAACTAGGAAACCCACTTCCGAAGTCACTACCTCCCGATGAGTCATCAACCACTGCTCAAGGCTCCTCACCTCTGATGTCAAAACCCGTCTTAGCCCCACCCTCTACTTCCTGCGCACTCCACGTCATCATCGATATTTCATAGATTAACAAACACATCCACCTCCCACAAATCGAATACTTCCAAGAAAACATTAAAATCTTCTATTCCAACATGATGAAATTGCCGCTGAAGATCAACACCAAAGGTGGAAGAAAGATTCATTTGTTCCTGTGTCGTATTAGATTCTTGTGTCATTTATAAATAAAGGTCTATTTATTAAGGGTGTATTTGTTTGTCCACTATTAAAATAGGATGGATAATTTTTTTTGCCTTTATTTAATTACAATGGATTAAAATATTTTATTTCTTTGATGTCATGTTTTTTTTTTTTTTTTTTTTTTTTGAAAGAGTTTTATATAATTCTTGATGCCATGTTAAAAGCGTTGTTTAAGAATAAGACAAAGTACCCGAACAAAACATTCCTTATGTGACCAAAATGTTTATTAGTCATATGTTGGAGGAATAAAACTATAAAGTTTTGTATTCTAAAAAATATATTACAATATGGTCACTGACATGATGCAATTATTAGAGGAATATAGTGAAACACCCCTTTTTTTCCTTCTTCCCTTTTTCCTCACCCTTTTCCTATTGCTATAAGTACAAGTGTTCGTGTTCAATGAACCACGCCGCCTGCTTCACTCTGCTTCGATAGTGAAAGCTATTCCCCCTTTCCCTCACGAATCCTATCCACAGGAGGTTCGATCCTTTAAGCCTCCGATCTTGTCTGCATTTGCCTTTTATTCTTCTGGTAAGCTTTTCTCTCTCTGATTTGTTATTCAATTGTCTACATGGGGTTGCTTAAGCTTTACACTTGAAGATTCCACACATGCACACTCAAAAAGTTGAAGATCTTTAGATCTATCGATATCAATTACGTGTTTCTTCGATTAATGGCTTTATCTGGTTTGACCAGTTCCTTTAATCTCAGAATTTTGTTTATTGTTTATTCTATCTTGATTGATTACTTTCGAAGTAAGGTTTATTGTTTATGCATGCTGTTTGACTATTTTCGAGGTAGGGTTTATCGTTTTCTGCACCACGGAGTTTCTTAAGGGTTTTAGAACTATATGCTTAAACAGTTTGATTTTGGGTATTTTCTTGCAAGGATTTGCAGATCTATGCTGCATGCATCGGCATTTTATAGCGAATTTGTTCGTTTGAGCACAATGCTTATAATTAGTGTTTTTGGATTCATATGTTCTTTCTATGGATCTGTAGATCTATGTGCAATAGTGGATGCTTGATATTAATCTACATCAAAATTACAGACAACTTCCCTTGAATAATTACATTAATCATGAACTAATCATATTTACAAGTAAAAACTATAATTACTTTTACCTGTATCTAGACTAGTGTTCTTATTCCATTTTTTTAACAGACACCCGTTGCAATTAAAGAGTTTTTAGTATATAATATCTCCTTATCACCATTAAATTAAAGTATCTTTCAATAATATATTGTGGGTACAGAGGATATAATGATAATGTCAAGTACTTTCTGTCATTATTAAACAAATTTTGTTGTGGTCCACTTTTGTCATTAATGTAATGTATGTGGATCATATTTATATCTTCATTATGTTATAGACTTCTGGCAGTGTTGTTTGTATTATCATAAGGTCCCCATGAAAATGTAATAATTGTGGTAGGCTACAAATTTGAACCAAAAAATTGCTGTAAACCAGTGAAACCAATCAGAAAACAAAAGTAAGTGAACCCCAGAGCGTTGTGTGTCATTTTCTTATATTTATGATGGATGATAATTGCAACATACTTTACTCTTTTTACCATTATAGGCAAATGCACATTATAGGCAATCAGATAAAAAGTATGTTGTTATTCTCTACAACATGTTTCTGATCTTTTTTATTTATACAGATCTCGATATCCAAAAATGGCAGATCTTGAAGCACCATTGGTACGCCCAAAACGAAAGAAAATTTGGGTGGACTATTTTGTCCAATTCAGATGGATTATTGTCATCTTTGTTGTTCTCCCAATCTCCTTCACTTTATACTTTCTCACTTATCTTGGAGACGTAAGATCCGAATGGAAATCATACAAACAACGCCAAAAAGAACACGAAGAAAACGTCAAAAAAGTCGTGAAACGTCTCGCAGAACGAAACCCATCGAAAGACGGGCTCGTATGCACCGCCCGAAAGCCCTGGATCGCGGTCGGAATGCGAAACGTTGACTACAAGCGCGCCCGCCATTTCGAAGTTGACCTTTCCGCCTTCCGGAACATTCTAGAAATAGACCAAGAACGAATGATCGCAAAATGCGAACCCTTGGTCAACATGGGTCAAATCACGCGGGCCACGGTCCCATTAAACCTCGCGCTCGCGGTCGTTGCTGAGCTGGACGATTTGACAGTTGGCGGGCTTATCAACGGGTATGGAATCGAGGGGAGTTCGCATTTATACGGGCTTTTTTCCGATACCGTAGTGGCATATGAAATTGTTCTTTCCGGTGGACGTGTTGTTAGAGCTACACGAGAGAATGAGTATTCCGATCTTTTCTATGCCATTCCGTGGTCCCAAGGAACTCTCGGATTACTCGTTTCCGCCGAAATCAAACTGATTCCGATCAAGGAATACATGAAGCTAACTTACAAACCCGTGAGAGGAAACATTCGTGATCTCGGCCAAGCTTATATCGACTCATTCGCACCACCTTTCGGGATAGATAATGACGAAAGTACCCCTGATTTTGTTGAAACGATGATTTACAACGCGAATGAAGGTGTTTGTATGACGGGAAAGTACGCGTCGAAAGAAGAGGCGAAGACGAAAGGGAATAAGATAAATAGTGTCGGGTGGTGGTTTAAACCGTGGTTTTATCAACATGCTCAAACGGCTTTGACAAAAGGGGAATTTGTCGAGTATATTCCGACGCGTGAGTATTATCATAGACATACGCGGTGTTTGTATTGGGAAGGGAAGCTTATTCTTCCGTTTGGTGATCAATGGTGGTTTAGGTATTTGCTTGGGTGGATGATGCCACCAAAGGTTTCTTTACTTAAAGCTACACAAGGTGAAGCTATTCGAAACTATTATCATGAAATGCATGTCATTCAAGATATGCTTGTTCCTCTTTACAAAGTTCCCGATGCTTTAGAATGGGTCGATCGTGAAATGGAGGTATAATATCTGTCTCAGTCAGTCTCTGATATCCAATGCATGTCAAACGCAGTATAACCTGTTATTTTTTTTTTACAGGTGTATCCACTATGGCTATGTCCACACCGGTTGTTCAACCTACCATGGAAAACGATGGTGTACCCGGAGCCAGGGTTTGATGAAGAGATGAGACAAGGGGACACGGCGTATGCGCAAATGTACACGGATGTCGGTGTGTATTATGCACCGGGACCCGTGTTGAGGGGGGAGGTGTTTGATGGGGCGGATGCGGTTCGGAGAATGGAAAATTGGTTGATTGAGAACCATGGGTTTCAGCCACAATACGCGGTGTCTGAACTGAATGAGAAGAATTTCTGGAGGATGTTTGAAGCGGGGCTTTATGAAGAGTGTAGGAATAAGTATGGAGCTGTGGGGACGTTTATGAGTGTTTATTATAAGTGTAAGAAAGGGAGGAAGACGGAGAAGGAGGTTCAGGAAGCTGAGCAAGCTCAGGTGGAAGTTCCTTATGCTGAAGAAGATTGATTGGTTTGGTAGTTTAGATGTATGGATTTAGTGTCACGGTTGATTGGGTTTCTTGTTGATTATTATTATTGTTTGTTTGCAGAGACTAAGAACATGAAACATTATTTGATTTGGACCTTAATTATCATCGGTTTTCGTGTTTGTTTTTGGGAAACTGGTCACGTCATAAGTCATAATCAGTCCCTTTGGATATTAGCCTGGAAAGAAAGGATTGGTATTAAAACAAGATTAGGCAACCTTGAAAGTTGAAATAAATCAATTTTGTTTTTCTTGAAATAAATGAGAAGCTATTTTATATTAACGTTGTAAAGCTTTTTAGTTTATACATGAGGCACTTTTTAAGAGCAGATAGTATCACAACCTATTCTGCTATTACATCTTTAGACACACTTGACATTTAAATGTAGCTATAAATAAATGAAAGTTTTTTTTTTTTTTTTTTTTTTTTTTTTTTTATCATTTGTTATATTTTCATTTAATTTGTTAAATGTTATTTTGTAGTTAATTTGATTTTTTTTCCATGTAACATTCTATGAGTTTTTCTGTTTTATTAAATTTTATATAATATTTTAATATAATAATTGTAATAAATGTAGTAATATATTGATATCAAATTTATTAATGATTTTACCTTTTAATTTCAAAATTACAAAAATTAAAACTTATTAGTTATTTATTTAAACTATTGTTTAAATTTAAAAGATAAAAAATATTTCCATAATAATTCATTATTTTTCTTATTTTTTTATAAATTAAAAATTCTCAAACATTTTGATATATGGGTATTACAACTAGTGACATAATAAAGAAGTTGATATCAATACCGACCCATGAGTCACTTTTTAGGAACACATGTGGTTGGATGTATGGGAACCCACTTCTTGTTTATATTGTCCTGAATTTTGAGATCTGTTTGGATCCACCATTACCCAACGATCATGTTTTCTTAAGGATAGAGGTTACGATCTCTGTTTTGTGGACTTGTTTCTTACTATTGGATTTGGATTTGATCATTTACACACATTTCAAGAAGTGAGTATTCCACATGATCAATGTACATCATCTTGTAAACATTTCCGATTTAATCATTTTTGAAGTCTCCATCTTTTGTGAAACTATCTTACAATGATAGGCTTCATGTTTGCCCCTTTTATATATCATAGGTTGGGATCTATCGAAAAATAGTCTTCGAGCCGCATGAGAGGATTTCCTTACCCTTGTAGAGGACTTAAAGGAGTGAAACATGTATCCTTAGAGATTGATGCATGCTTATGGATGTGGGATGGGCCCCAACCATTCTGAAACCTATTCTCATGTTGCTCATGGTCGCACCTAATGGACTACTCGGGTCATGCAAATTCTAAGCATGTCACTTATTCACATGTTTGTTCATCCTTGCCTCATCTTAATCATCATAAATGTTTAATACTACTTAGGCCTAGACATGACTTGTTAATGGTAATCTATATATCTATCAGTAATAATAGAAGCTTTTTTCTTTCAACCATAATTACCTTTTAAAATTTGTATAATAATGATTGGTAATTGTGATATTTAACAGCTATATCTCAAGGGTTTATAACCTATGATACTTTATGATGCATTTTCCCTTCACTTACGTACTACTACGACTTAAGCGTGACATCTGAATCCTGGTATGAACTTATGTTTTTAGTATTAAGTAAAAGAGTTGGACTTGGTGCTTTAGCCTAGTCCACGGTGTGGTGATCGGCTTACTACGATGTGGTGAATGCCTTGTCACCATGTCATGGAGTATTATGACCACAGTGTGGTGCTCTCATGGGCTCAAAACCCTAAGACTCGGATCTTGAGCCTTATTTAAGGAATGAAGAGGCTATGGTTTTTTTCAACCCCAACCTCCATCCCTCCAGAAAGTATCCTTTAAAACCTTAGCCTCATTTTTCTTCTCTAAGCCTTTTTTGTGTGTTTGGTAGCTTTCTTGAAGGAAGAGTGTCACCCTTTGGATCTTGAGAGTGATTCTTGAAGAAGTCCAAGACCTTGTGCATCTCTTGGACCATTGTGAGTATTCAAGTTTCTATCTTGATGGTTTAACTTCATGAATATAGTATATTTTACGCTTTTCGGCCTTTTTAAAAATGTTTTTAATGGATACGGTGAAAAGCAATTCAACTGAAGCTTGAAAATTTGTCAATATTATGAGTCCTTAGAGTGTTTTGTCTTTTAGATCTAAAGTCTAAGTGTGTTTTAGTGCTAATACATTGAATCAAGGGCACATTTTGCCCTTTTTGACCTAAAATGGAGTAGAATTTGCATTTAGTGCGCAAGCTCATAAATTTATGTTTTCATGGTTCATCTTAGTGTGGTTTAGGCTTGTAGAAAGTCTAAGGTTTGGTATAATTGCATTAAGGGATTTTTAGAAAGTTGTACATTCTAGGCGCACCACTATGTGGTGAGCTTTTGAATCACGACTGACCTATCCCTTACCACGACCTGGCAAGGAGTTGGCCACGACGTGGTAGATGTAAGACTCACGACTAATTTATCTTAGACCATCGTGTGGCAAGGGTTTTGTCAGATCGTGGTGGTATGATGATTGTTGAGTTGACTATTGACCATTGAACTTTGACTAAGTTTGTCATAAGTTGAGGTTTGACCTTTTGCAACTTGATTAGGTGACTGTTGTACCTGTCAGTGCATGTGATGAGCTAGAGCGATTTATGCTTTCGTCTGTGAGGTGAGTTTTCTCACCGTGTTATGTATGTCATGGTGGTTGTGCTATGATGGTGATATATGCACATTGATGGGTTTTATAGATTACAATAAGTACGTGTTTGCGAAATTTCACTTAACATTTAAGGGAACATGCAACCTAAAACATTTGTATCCTTAACACTTTGAATGTAACATGCTATGAACAACACAAGTTAACTTGAACCCTAATGAATCCCTAGTATAATCAAGCAGAATAGTAAGGGTTACATACCTTTGATTTGTTGTGGTGAACAAATAACTTCAATCTTCTTATTAAAAACCTTGGAAAGCAAGCACCAGAAATCTTGTGCCTCTAATGGCTCATACCCAAAACCCCAAAAACCCGAAAATGAAGAGGACAGAGAAAATAAAGATATAATTTTCGTTTCTATGCCTTATGGGAATAGCACGAATGAAATTGAGGCCATAAGGGGGTCCTATTTATAGTTTAGGTAACTTAGGGACAAAGCAAGATTTGAATGATTTAATAATAATTTTAATCCCAAATCAAGTCCCTTCCTTATCTTCATCCAAGAGGCTTCTAGAAACCCTAAGGAGGCTCCCAAAACCGTCCACCTCTTGGATGGTTCTAGAATTGCTTCAATTGTTCAACTATTAAACAATTACAATTCACTCATTGCACCTTTAATTAGTTCCAATTAATCCCAAATTAATTCCAGATTAATTCTGATTAATAATTAATTGATTTTAATTGATTTCATATTAATTTATTAATCATATAAATTAACAAATCATATATATATATATATATATATATATATATATATATATATATATATATATATATATATATATATATATATATATCATTTCTAGCTATTTCAGGTTATGAGGGCAACCCAAAAGGAACTTTGCTAATAACTCAAGATTATACTAATTTAGTTATTGGCTTAGACACGTAATCCAACAGTCTCCCACTTGGATAAGCCTAAAGCTAAATTACAAGTATAACTTCAAAATCAAACAGCAAAGTATGCTTTCCAAAGAAACTGTGATCCGAACATATATTTTCCCTAATATAAGTGATCAAATATTCCTTCGTTCTACAAGATATCTTATGGATGTGTGACATGAATAATAATTAATCTCTTAGTCTAAGATTATATTTCCTGATTTCTGATTTATGACGATTAGATTCAGACTACTAATTGAACACATCAATTCAGTCCGAGAAAGGCCTTGCACATTAATGTCAACATCAAATCATCATTGGGGCCAAAGATATCGCTTTTTCTGTTAAGACAAAAGGAACCAATGAACTTCGAATCATATGCATGTATCCTTTACTCATTGAATCATGCATGCCACTACGTTTTATAACATCATGTTACTGATATGTTTTCGCAATACCAATGAATAACCGACTTGTAAATTACAACTCATATATCTCCGCTTTAAGAATATAATATATTATCATCTCAGAATTACCCGTGATAGAATCCATGAAGTAATTCTATGAGCGTGGGTTTATCCAATACTTAAAATACCCATTTTCTATGTACTCATGAACATTGTAGTAATCTTATTGCAATGTCAAATCCCCATAGACAATATACAATTCAATTCATGACAATCTTAATCCACTACTTCCAAAAGTATGAGCGACTGTTGAATTCGAGTAATCAAATTATTCAGGAAGTAAAACATGAAAAGTGAAACACAATAATAAACTAATCAACTATGGTCCCAAACCTATTGAATTTAAATAATCTCTTTTAATTAATCACCATAATAATTATGACTTTCTTCATTGTATAATGTTTTGAGTAATTGTAACAACCCGTTATTCCGGGTCAATATAAGTCAATAAAAGTCACACTTGTTACAATAAAAGTCAAAATCTTAATCATGTATAAGCGAAACCATATTTGCAACCTTGTTGCATTGTATCATCTATAGCCATGAGGGCATAATTATAGGTTAATAACTATGTGTAGTTTGAAACCCATGTTGATTTATGTTATTACAAGTCAACACAAGTCAACATGTTAAAGCTAAAATCATAAAATAACACTACATTTAAGTTTTCGGTTTTAGGAATCTTCGATAAAGGAGATTTCAGTTTAGGGAATCAAAGTTTAATGGAGTTTTCGGTGGTTAAATCAAGGAACATTGAGTTTTCGGTCATGTATGACCGAAATCACCACTTAAAGGACGAAAACCGTCCCTTTATATATATATATATATATATATATATATATATATATATATATATATATATATATATATATATATATATATGTATATATGTTTAGCTGCAAACACTTCTCATTTCTCATTTCCAAGGCCGAAATCCTTCCCATTTTGCTCTCAAAACTCATACGAAATCATCATATCTTCATAAGATTTTGCCCAGATTCCTTCAAATCTCCTTATTTTCCTCAAGAACATTCATACTTTCCTTCAAATCTTTAATTTTTTTACCCCAAGAACACCAAGACCACCTTCAAATAATTCCTAAGGCTTTTTATAAGTATTTTTTGACATAATCTAGTGTTGTCTAACACTTTAAATTATTAGTTCAATAATTTAAATACGATATCGTGTATAATTATTATTAGGATACGACTACTCACATGGGTTCTAACCTGAAGAACATCGCTACCACTTTGTATCCAAACAAGAACCTACATTTGAGGTGAGTTCATACCCTACGGTTTCACTA